GATCGGAGCTGAAAATGTAATCTTTTAACGATCAAAGATGTATTGCATGTAACGGTATTTTAGGGACTAACGACGTAATGTATGTTTGCTGCTTGTTAGAAACTAGAGGACATATTATAGGCACTTAAACAGCGGCCAGTTACGGTGTTACGCTATTTTTTAAGTAATCGGTCAATTTAGCTCACAGGTACCTAAGGGATCCTATCATATATCGTTGAAAATTCAATTTACGAGATCGATTTTTGTTTACTTTATTTGATAGGTACCTCCCATCTACTCTACTACTAACGGATTAGCGAACACAATCCCAACCGTCATTGGATTCGAATGATTTGTGTTGCGTACCGTAAATAGCCTCTATTCAAAACACCCAATTTGTGTCACATGTACGACCCTTGGAAATTTTAGGCAAAAGTTAACTATAAACACGCGCTCAATGTCAACACCCCATTGTAATCTACGAGTGTGTGTGTGTGTGTGTCTACACGAAAGACAACAAAAACGCTACATAAGGTTCGAATACAAACATCTCAAGTAGTTCTCGGCAGCAAAAATATATTTATGGAAGTTACAGTTATTAATACTCCGATAGACCGGTCAACGGTACTAATATATACCGACCATTCTTACTATGTACATACGTATGTTACCTCTCAAGATTAATAAGAATATGTACATGCATGGCTAAGTCCGAGCCTATGCATATTCTATACAATAGGCGTATACGGTCTTCTCGAAGAATTACGCCAAATACTTATGTAATCTGGCTGGAGACGTATAATTATCATAAAACACTATAGGACTGGAGGCTGTGCATCATGTTCCACCTTATTTACCCATTCTCTAATGGTCCATTATAGCGAATTATTCGACTATCTAGCACCACTAGCATCGAACTTAATAATTGTCTACTATTTACTAGACGCACCGTTAATGTAACTTCAATAATTACTGTCGGACCCGCAGGGGGTTTTCACTAACACTTGTTCATTGCCACTTATTGTCATATTTTTAATTTATAAAATATAAATCGGTGTAATCCAACATGAGACTTGACGAACTAGAGACGGTTTGGTTGTTTTTTTTTCCATGTCCTCCATAATGTTGTACGGCCTTTCATATTACGATCAGGACAAATCATACGATTTGGGAATGCGCTATAAGGACGAAAAGTACCTATTGCAACGCTTGTTTTCTTAGCTAGAACGAAAATATGTATTCTAATAAGGCTGTTTATTGTAAATTAGATAGTAAAATTATTAGTAATAAGCACGAAAGACTCAGCCTCTATTAAAATAATGATAAAATTCTAATGAATATTTTAGTTTGACGGCCAATTAATTTACTGTGAACGGTTACCAACTATGATTTCGAGAGCTTCCGATGAACAATTATTCCTGGTAAAGAAGTACTGACTGTACTAAATACGATGAAGCCCATTAACCTAAATCACGGCGGAAACTTATGTTTCACTGTGAAACCCCTACCGGTTATGACCGTGCGTGAAAATTATGGCGCAACCGTTTCTCAAAAATCGACCTCAACAGATACGTTTGCCTTGGCCACAGTTACGTATCATCGATTGAACGATATAATGTTACACTGGATGAAAGCTATTATTTAATATTTAATCATACCCAAGGCAATAATGAGTGTAAATATTTATTTGGATCAGTTTTCATAAATGGCGGTATTCACTGATTATTTAAACTTCCGCGGTAAAGAGGAACGATGACGCTGGTATATTACTTTCAATGAGAAATATGTTCACACGTATTTAACAGAAGGCAGACGGAGCCTTTGTTTACCAGTGCTGAACAATCTCGCATCTCTTATCCTGAATCACTCCTCAACAAAGGACGTAAGGTGAACTCGCCCCACCTACAGGTACGTGTCGAACATTTAGCTAGTGACACCGACATGTTGAACTGCGATGTTCGTGACGAGCAGGGTATAGCAGTAGTTCAAGTAACATCCATCAAATACGGCTTCGGTGTACGCTCCGTCATGAAATCATTTCTTATATTCGTTTAACAATCACTGTCTTTTAAGGGAAAGAGGTCCTTTATGTAAATAACTTCGTACTGACGATAACTTCATTCGACGGTGACCCAGTTCAAAAAGGAACGTGCGCCAAAGTAAACAGTGGAAAATCATACAGGTACGAGGAAAAACCATCGTCTCGTTTTCTCGTAGCAGAGTATGAAATTCGCGCTAACCGAATCTGCTTCGTCTTAGGAGGTCGCAGTTGAACGCAGAAATGACAGTCGGCATAGCCGCAGAACTTTCAATGACCGAAATCCTTGGCCTTGATCAACCTCAGTCGACTATTGTTTTCGCTCTTATAACAGTTGAAGGTTTTCTTTGTATGTATTTTGTCTGACTTGGCCTCTGACTTAGTGATTCACAAATCACTTACAGATCGGCAAAAATAATTGGGCATACTTTGTGATCCGCCAACGCAATGTCCAATGTTTTATTTTGGATATCAATCGTCTGAGATAGATCTGCTGTCTACGTATGTGTTTATTATTGTGGATTCTGCTCCTCTCTCGAATGATGACAAAGCTATTGCTCTGGAACGCTGTAAAAATATCTATACACACACACATCTGTTTATATATATAATTCCTTGTTGTTAATTTTGACACAGTCAGGGTATTTACTCCGACCTACAATATAACAGAACATGAAATATTGTTGTTCTTAACGTCGTACACATAAAAAAGGATCCGTTACAGGCCGCTAGCCCTGATTTAGTGCAAGCAACTATTATATATATATATAGAGTACACATGAATTGTTTTGTATACAGTTTCAAAGCGAGCAATCCACGCATATATCTGGAATATTCGGGTCGATATTGGATAAAAAGAGAAAACACTCATTCTTCATTCTTTTGAAGCCATTGGTTTGCCCTGCTAAGCCGTGCTGCAAACGCTTATTGGCCGCACATCGAAGAATCATTCGAATAAATGTGGGCCCCGCGCTGGCCCTTCAGTGCATCATCTTTTCGCTAGGAATATTTGCATCTGGCTTTAATAAAGCCTAATAATTGAGGTGCAGAGCCATAATACAAATAAGTACCTGCTCCCGTGAACTTGAAAATTGAAAGACGCGCAGAACACGCCTTCCTCGATTGCTCAAAGAAGGGATCCAACTATTTTTTGGACACCACGATTCACAAGGGAAAATTGTCCAGGCAGATTGTTGGGTAACACTACTTGAAAGCGCCTGCTTTCGTAGAAACGATTTCCTCTTTCTTTCTTAATACTTCACAGCTCACGGATCTCGAGAGTACTTCAGGAAAAGATATAATTCCTTCTGTAATAGATGTGGGTATACCCTGAGAGGCAAAGGGCTTCACGCTGTTCGTCGGCATGCGAATTTAGTTCCACCGTAAAAATCTCATTAGCTTGAGCTTTTCTACCTAAATAATCAGCACTTTTTAATGCATAATCTCGGTAGACATGCGACCTATCGTATGCCCACAGATCCAACAATCTGATTATGTTAGGTGCGGTAAATGCCTACGTAGTTTATACAACATAATATCACACAAGCTTTGCGCGATCCCACAATGTGTTCCACTTTGGCGAGTTTCAGCTAGCATAGGTAAGGCAAAACGATCAAAAGCATGATTCGTTGCCTTAATAGATAGAAGAACACCGTCTTAGACGTATTTTCTCTTCATATACCAGCGAACAGCCGTATGATCTTTTAAGGCATTGCTTTATGGAGCACTTCGACGTGCTAGGGTTAAAATCAGCGAGCTAACATCGCTTCGATACTCCTTCTTTCGGTCTGCGTCACCCGTGGATTTTCCAGTAGAAAAATAGCAAGGTTTAGGAGTTACGAAGTCGATTAAGCTTTGGAAGTACATATTGAGTCTGATAACAATATTTTATAACAAATATAATTTCGATTAGCAGATCAATTAAATGAAAGTTAATACGCGCCCATTGCTTCGATAACCACTAGTATTTTTGAAGTCATAAGCAGGATACTCGATGACAATAGAAAATGGGAATATTTTTTGCCTTTTGATGAGCTCCATCAACCCATCTCTGATCATCGATAATTTCGACGCACGTTTGTAAAATTGTTTTCTGTTACCAATCTAAATTTCACTATGTATTCATCTTGGGAACCAAACGCACCACATAATAAGCCGGAGACAAGATGAACAGTTTTTAATTTTAACTATTTTTAGGGTGCTTTTTATTGCTTGATGTTCAGTTGGTGAAGCTGTCAAATGGCGCACGAAATATAACGTGTCCACAGGAGTTGAATAGAGAATCTACATGCAATTTATTCAAACAATATATGTATCCATCCATTTGTCTGTCCATGTTCCGTTCGTCATTGTTTGTGGGGAGACACGAAACGTTACTGCATAGATAGATGAGCTGTCGTTGTCGCTGCCGTCGTAACAGCGTTCGCAGGGTCGTGTTATGCTATTCCTGTTACATTACTTCAGCGTCTCTGCGCGAACTGTCTCCGCCGTCAAAGGGGGAAGAAATGAAACATCTTCTGGCGACCCTCGCCATTTCGCAGCATCCCGTGTAGCCGCGCCACAGCGGCAACGAGGTTCGCAACAGCAGAAACTATCGTCACTGCTGCTCGAAGAACACACAAAATGACCGCAGCGATCGTGCGGCACGCGGTATGGGCACGCTCTTAAACGCTGCTAACTCTGAGATTTGCCTTTTGTGGCCGCTAGCCCACAAACGGTAGAATAGAATAGAATCTAAGCCGCATCACGGGAATCTAGCGAGAGTATCCCGCGGGAGCGCAAGCACTCGGAGGCACCCTAGGAAAATTAGTTGAAAAAGAGAAAAAAAAAAAAAAAAAGAAAATGACCGGCAGTCTAAACGACCGGTAATCTGCTCACACTACTGACTCTTAACGGCAGCGGCGGCTCAGTAATGGCGGTTATAGGAGGCTAGCAGTAGTCGTTAACTACTAGAAGCTGGGCCACGGAGTTCAGGCGTCGACGGGTCACGGAGCGCCAACGACAGACGAGACTGTGAGAGTGAACGATTTCCGGCTAAGCACTACGCTACAATAGTGCGACTAAAAAAAGAGCAGTGGTTCCCAGTGAAGCATGAGTTTTTCTTTTCCGACCTTTGGTGATTTTCTTTGTTCAGGTTGCGTGTGATTTGAGGAAGGACAATCAGGCCCTATTAAACCTGGCGACTTGCTGGCACTTTGACGCAACCTTCAGATATTCTCATTTGTGTGTCCCCTGCAAACCGAAGTATTAACGATAAATATATCTTGGATGTGGCTAGGCTGGAAACTAAGTTTCACCACGTATGCGTGTAGAACAAGACTTGTCTGACTTCATAAATTAACAAAAACAACACCTATTATCAACGACGGTTGTAATATATGTTCAGATATGAAGATTTCTGTTAAAAATCCGACCGATGACCAATATTTTGCTGTAACAGTAATCAGTCATTATGTTTGTCCAGTTCAATAACCAGAAGAAAAGTAAATTTATCAACTGGAGACCGTACATGTACATTTGGATTAAACGCGTGTTTATGTGATCAGTGGAAGCTGGAAGTTCTGTTATGTTAAGTTAAGTTTCCTATTGGATACTGTGCAGACTTAGTGTGGATATTTCATGTAGGTGTGCTAACCTCAGAAGGAATCAAGACAGGCAATCCATCCCAGCGCTAAACTGTGACGGAAAAAGGTATTCGTGCCCGATGTACGGAACGGAAATTACAGGACTAACACAGCTGAAATCAATACGGTCCTGTTAAATAGGCGTACAGCTTTAAAAAAAAAAGTCGAATACATTAGTTTATCATCCATGCGTATATGTATCTATAGGAAATTGTTAGAAACGAGAGATTAAAGATTTGTACTAATTCAAATCACGTTGGCTCGATTATCTAATTGTTTCACGGATGTAATTAGTTTCGATACAAAATCTACACAATGATCTCTATACAATATTGAAAGGCCATAGGATTAACCCGGTTGGGTTCTCCAGATTTGCTTTGCCCGATCTTAAATCTACATAGATCATTTGCGACATGGGTCATGTGTACCTTTCCGCTTCAAAAAATTTGCCCATTAAAATCGGAGCTATACGCTCTGTTGTTTGCTTTTTAAGGAGCACGCAAAGCCCTCAGTTTACTCAACAATTCGTCTCATTTGAGCTTTAGCGGCTTTCTGGCATTAGTAAGACTGTAGGGAAAAATAACCTAAGGTTTAAGAGAACTGGTTTGGAAATATCCATTTTTGAAAATTGCGAGGCTGAACGAGTGCGTCAATTAATCACGATCTCTGATTTGAGTGGGCTTAACAGACCCACAAACACGCAACGTCACAGAAATGTGGCCACAGCAAGAAAACTTATCAAAACAACGATATTCGATATTCCTTGTTCAAATTGTGTAATCATAACTTAGCAGGTCCACGCATGTTTTCTATAGAGAATGCCTAGGAAATTGTAAAGGCAAACAATCATGACTCTTAAAACAATCGGAGCCATGCAGTAAGCCTGTACCTGGTACTGCTTATGTCGACATTTTTTATTTGCCAAAAAATCACTCAGATTACTATAGTATAATAGTTAGAATCGCCGTGTCATCGACGGTCGTTTCTAGATCGGACCTGCAAGATGAACTTGTAGTTAATTCTGTAACTAGATTGGTTTTCCTAACACTCATTTTCATTTTTACTCAGTATTCATCGGGATTAGCCCTGAAGAGGGTGCGCAAAACAACTTCTTGTCATTATTAGAAATCTACGCTGAATCGTAATCTAACTTGTCAGCACAATTTCTTTTTTACTTATCTGAAATTGAAATGTTCATTCATTTTCAATAGTAGATAAGCTTTGCCTAGCTCCCGAAGCAATGAAGCTGGCTTTTTTTTTTTTTTATGTGACAACAGGGCCTGGATGAGTAAAATATGTTACGTAGGCTATATGTATTTGACGACTGTACGTGATAACGATTCCATTTATTTATTTAGAGCGAAACGAAGCGAGAGGGCGAGAGGTGAGGAGAGATGGCGAGGGGAGAGACGATTGCTTCATCAGCTTTCGGCTCATTTCATCTTGAACAGTAGATTTTTTATTAATTTAAAATAAACCGTGCGACGTAACCACTTTACGCCGACCGTAGTATCACTAGTTTCGAGAGTCAACCGCTTTTGAGTGTTGCTGCTAACGCATCCGCCGTTGAGGAAGCGGGGGCTCGTGTTCAATCTGTAGTTTTAGATGAAGTGCTGACTCAGAAAACAAGATGGCCAGACAGTCAATCCGTTCGTTCATAAGTTAAATGTTCGGCAAACTCTTACCGATTTCGAGAGTAACACCCTTTTGGTCGGTCCAGCCACCACATTCGGGCATAATAATAGTCCACTGTAATTAATTGAACATGGTCCGCACTTGGCAAAGGGAAAGATAAAACGACCCGATCGTAACGATACAGACAAGTATTAGGTTGATAAATAAATAAATTCTTTATTTAATAGCCCTTTCGCTTTCTATTCGTCGTTTGCTGATAGTCAAATAGCCTGAAACATATTTCTACGAGTCCGTTGATATTCTTCCTGCAGAAGGCTCTGTCCCCAAGTTCGGACTTTGAAATAGATATATATACTTTTTCCATTTGTGTCATACAGAGAAAGAAAAGAATACGTTTAATATAGAAAGAAAAAGTGACAACAAATTGGAAAGTACAAAAAAGACTGAAAGCTGTTTTTTTTTTTTTTTTTAACGAATTTGGTTCTTTCCAAAGCGATTCGTAGTCCATTCTTTAGTCTGTCGCTTCAACTGGTTCCGGTACGTTACCTTATATTGCTATTTTTTTTAAAACTGGCTTTTATTGTGTCAGATTTCGAGATTGTCGCGTTCTGAAGACGGGTACATTCATTCGAGTATCCGGACCTGCGGTATGACCATCACGGTAAGGACGAAACGACAACAAGCTAATCAAACAAACCTGTTCCAACAATCTGTAAACATCAGCAATCATGCAATTAGAAAGGGGGAGCAGTCGATAAAAGGAGAAACGAGGAAAACGCCTATATCAGTCTCATAAAATTCAGTTAGCAACATTGAGAGTATAATAATACGCTCCAAAGAAAACAGATAAAGCAAATTTCTGTTTGCATAGCAGCGGCATATAGTCAACAATTGCGCCAGACATTGTGGCATACGAGAAGGGCATCTGTTTAATTATTTTTATTGGCAGCAGGATCCATTTCCGGTCGATAGGGCACTAACTTCACATTTACTGAGCTGTGGGACCTATAATAACGAAGTGGCCAAAAATTTCTGAACAGATAAATAATGCATTTTATAAAATTTCAATAATCATCCCAAGTGTTCGAAAAACGTGACTGATCATGCTGCATTAATTAGCATCATCCATCCTAAAGTAGATTGTGGGTTAAGCGGTGCGTTATCCTGCCCGAGTTGAAGGGCACAGGGTCTGCATTAGGGGAAGGAAACGAAACGTTTGTCTCAAACTGGCAACCCTATTTGTTATAAGGTTAACCATTTCCGCTGGTTCTGAAGCAGACACACTTTAAGTTCCTCTAGAATGAACTCAGAAGTCATTAGGAATATTTCCGGATTCAATTCAATTCAATTCAATCTGTCTTTGATTCATATTAGAGAAAGCGACATGGGTTGCCAACTGGCCAGAACATGTGCTGGATCTCATCTATTTCCTAAGGGAAATACATATTATACGTTTTCAGGAGTTAAGTTGAAGAGTATATTTACTCTTTAGAAAAAGAATTGAAGCCCCTGATCAATTTATTAATTTAATCTAGCCAGTGCTATTGACTTTCATGGGGTCTCTGAATATCGGACAATAGATATTTCACCATCTGATACACTGATCAAGTCCGACAAGCGATTGCTAAGCGTCACCAGTGTTTTGTTTAACAAAAATAGAATCAGGTTTTAGTAATCGTTAGCCGGAAGCAGTGCGGAACTGTCTTATCTTGTATCAGATATGACATATCTAATACAAATGCCATGCTTTTACAGATATCGAGCCATATAAAAGATATGTCTCGCAGACATTATATTGCACGCACGTCTTGTTGTGGCCCAATTAGCCATTCCTGCTGTAAAAACCAGTGACATACTCCGCGCTGCTTTCGCCATATTGGCGAGATATTTAGGTGACTTTCCGCTTGACGACTTAACATTTAGCCTTTACGAGTTCTACCACTGGCAGACACTACATCAGACGATTTCTTCAAACGACTGATTCGGGATTATTTAATGAACGTTAGCATCGGACCACTGAAAAACTAACGATAATTTAATGAGAGATAACCTCTTACTCCAACTGGACCCCACCCACTGCGTTTCCCCGCGTACCTAAGTTAGCGTCATATGCTCCCATCGTGTAGAATCCAAATTGTCAACTAGTATAATCAAAACTTGTTGAAACTTCTCGAAAAAAATCGCCGGACTTGCCAGATGTACACGCAAATGTTCCTTTGCCAAATTCCTGTTCGTATTATTAATCTGGTCATGGATATAGACCACCAAAACAAGAACCATGCCATTTTTATGATACACCTCGTATACGCACGCATATAGTAAATAAGTTTAATCTAAATATAATCGTGGAATTATGATAACAATACGGCGGAAGGTGCCAAATGGATTCTGAGTATGAAGCATACTCTCGCATAACTGGTGATCGTCCATTTCCGTAATACACAGGCTCGTGACAGAGAAAACACGATCAGGCGTGTCTTGAGTAAAAAATCTATTTGTATCTTAAGCGTATTTTTATTACAGATGCATGCGGGGTCTATATGGGAAATAGAATGGCGATGGGAAAGCAAAGCAGTAATGTCTGATGAAGGACTGCAGCTTTAGGCACGGCTCCCAGCTGTCGTTCAGAACAAGAACCTTGAAAACAAGCTCGTGATTAATAGTTTGCCGTTACACGTTTGTAAACGTCCAATCAATTTAGTAAAAAGATTAGTGACGAACTTTATGACCAGAATTGCAGCTTCATCAATATGATTGTATTGCGTTTTTGTACAAACGCAGTAGTAGTAGTAGTAGACATTATTAGTACTATCTGAGATTTCATATATATTTGAATATATTGACAGAGTTGGAACAATCGTTATTTTTTTGTTTCTATTTTTAAGTGCAAAATGTGCATGAGTTCCTGAATGGGCAATAGGTTTGCTTCGCACTTTTTTACACTATTCATCTACCCTGCACAAAACAAAGATAGGGGAATTGTTGCCAATGGCACCATGTTCGTGGATTATTATTGCAGATGGAAAAGTAATTATTGCCATGCTATCGTTCTGCATCTTATCGGCCACGACCGGTTAAAGCCCATATTGTTTAGCATGGGTGTCAATTGAAGAGTAAGTTCATTTTATTTGAGAGTAATTTTTTTCACACAATTTTAACAATAAAACATTTTGATGCGAAGACACCCCCTCCCCCCCCCACCCCTGAAAATTAAATCTAAACTTTCGTTAGCAGATTGCCAAGACAAGCACGACACTCAGATATTTAAAAAGTTGTTCATTTTAGACTGCCAAGCACGAAACGGCCTCCTTCGATTAAGCGACGGGTCTGCCGGGGGCCTGTCGTCAGAAGGAAGGCCCCAAATGGTGGCGCCAAACGTAAAACTTGAAACATTCAGTTTTAGATGACCACTATGAGAAGAACACAGAAATT